GAGAGAGAGAGGGAGAGGGAGGAGAAAAATGGCACGGGAAAGCACACAGTCGGCCGTGAATTAATTATTCAAATGGCACCGCTCCAAGCGGTGTATCCTTTCGGTGATATCGAGCGTAACGACATTTTATAAGTGCATGTTTTATTCATCGTTCCGAACGCAGTTGCGCGTAACTCGGCCTAACACGTGCATTATGTCGGCGCAATTACAGCCACGATGCCGGAACGAGCGCTCCGTCGCACTCTTCTCCTCGTTTCCATCCAAATTTCCACCCGAAATTATTATTATTCGCGAGATCGAGAAGAGCCAGCCCGGAGAAAATGATTCTTGTTTGTAAAACGCGTTGCAAATCTGTCCCCCGGGTCCACATTTTCCGTCCCGGTGGCGATAGCTCTCTTCTTAAAACTCGAGGGAGGAATGGAGAGCGTTTGCTCGATCGTTGGAGGTGTGGCTTGCCAAACTGACGTAGAAATTTATCTCACAGTAGCGAGGAAAGTGAAACAAAGATCGATCGGAGTTAACCAGGATTCCGCATATCGAACACTCTGGCCCTCTCCTCTCTGGCTTCGCTACTCCCTCGCTGCCGATAATCCATAAATTTAACCGATCGAGCAAACATCGGCAAGATCTTGATTAACTAACATCGAGGCAAAGAACATCGGTGCATAAATCCCGGGCAAATGAAATTACCATTTAACAACACCGTGCGTGCGTTTCTTACTTCGGCGAGACGTCAAAGTTTTCGAAACGAACGAAACGCTCGAGTTGTTCCCGCCTAATGTTTTATTATATTGAGGAGAATTAACACCGATGTTTTCCAACAACCAATGAATAACCAGAACGAGAACAACGACACTTAATCATCGATTCATCGCAAGTTGGTAAACCGTTTTAACGTAGATTTATACCGATTTATGCGATGCAAAATAATAACAAACAACGAATTATCGAGCGAAAATGATGACGAGGCTAACTTTTTCATTACGTTATTGTTATTTTGCTTCCACTTTGAAAGTGATTAACGCGGGATAAACGGGGAGAAAAGTGAGCGAAGTGGATGATGAAGCCGTTATTCCGTTAAAGAAGATAAAAAGCGAGAAATCGCGTAGCTTTCGGATATAAAAGGGAAGAAAGCGCTAATGGCATTCGGCAGTTGGTTGGAAAAAACAGAAAGGGGAGGGGGTAAAAGTTTCTCGTCGTTTCAGTTATCGACTCGACAAAACGCGAGCTTACTTCTTCGTTCTTCGTATTCAACGCGAAGATTCATGATTCCTCGTGAAAAATGAGTTTTCCACAGCCCGGAATGTCGTACGAGGATCATTTATAAAATCCAGCTGTTGCTTATGCCCTCATTTATTCTCCTTTTCGTTTTTTCTTTTTTCCCTTTTCTTTTTTACCATATATATTTTTTATAAACATAATGGGAAACGTGGAAAGATATACCATTATCGATTTTAATTAAAATCTTTCTCGTGCGAATTTGGCGAAACACGTTCATACGACGTAATGAAATGTTGTAACAGAAACAGATGCGCGTTTTCACTTGAGAAGGACGCGTTATGAATTAATTTTAACCTGCAATTTGTTTCCTTTTTTTTCTTTTTTTTTTTTCAACAACGACGATATTAAACGATTCGTATTTAATTAGAATTGTGAGGAGAGGTATAACGTTTAATTTATCAACTTTAATTTTCATTCTCTTATGTATCTGTTAAATATTAAATAATAATTACTTTTTACTTCTTGAGATCGCGAAGAGAAAAACAAGGAATTTACTTTTTATGTTCTTTAACGAAATATAAGTTGGCGCAGATTGAATCGACTGGTTGCTCCAAGTAAACCTTCTGAAATACTTGTATGGGTTAATTAATAAGAATCTTTTCAAAAGAATCCTCTTCGAAAGAAAACTTGCATAAATTTATCCCTCCCTTCGAAATTTGTGCGTCGTGAGTTTCAATTATAACAAGGAACAGAGAGTAAGACAACAATAAAGACATCGATGAGAAAAAAATATTTATCGATATGATTTCCTTCGTTATCTTTCTCCTTTTTTATCACACCTGTGATCGCAAGAAGAAAGAGTAATTACGAACAAAAAAGTTTTTACAAACAAATATTCTTTCGCTTAAAAATGCAATACAAATTAACTAAATACTAAAGATAAATTACAAGAAACCCAATTCTTCGAGTGAAAAATAACTTTTTCCAACGAACGATTATTTCTCTGATAAAATTCTCTTTGTGTCTAGAAAAAAAAGAAAAAAACCTTTTTTTTATAGACAGGGCAGGAGAGAATGAAAAAGAATAGAAAAGAAGAAAGAAAAAAAATTTGTCGCCGAACTTGATTAAATTTTCTTGCTCGTGGTTCAAATTGAGAAAAAAAAAAAAAAAAAAGAAGAAGAAGAAGAAGAATCGATAGGACACAACATCATACACCAGCTATCAAAGCTATCCATGATGATTCTGATTCAACGATCCTCCGCATTGATCCTCAGCGCCGATGAAAAGTGGCACTGGCGCCAACAGATTTCTTGTTGACGTTTTTCAGCCTCGGCCAAATATGAAATAGAATTTTGAAAACAAGCCCTTTGTAAAACGAGATCCCGTGGTAATTCGTTTCAACGGTTGAAACTCGAATAAAATTGGAAGGGAAAAAAGTGGATCAACCGGAGAGATGAAAGAATGGAAGCGGGAAAATATTTCAGGGATGTTTTATCTCAACTTTCACCCTCGTTCCATGCGTTAATTTTAAAAAATGCCACGGGAAATGTCGGTTTCTATTTTCTCCCCTCCCCAATCGTAAAAATTCTCCCCTTGTGGGGAATCGTTTCGGTTATTTGAACCGAATGGAAAAAAAACTAGAAAGCATCCCTGAACGAACGAGAAAATCCTGAATTCGAGCGGCAGTGGATGGTGGAATACGGCTGGTGCTTCGATTCTTACGAGACACGTTATGCGCGTGGGGAACATTTTTCGAGAGAAAACGCGTGCAGGCCATGCGCATTAGAAGAAGAAGGAAATCGTATCCAATCGATACCAATTTTTCTTACCGATCATCGTCGATTTCGTCGTAAAAAGCTCGTTTCTTTTTCTTCTTTTTTTACAAAAATTTAGATAAATAAAAAATAGCGGAGATCGGAGTTGCGAGGAGGAAAGCGACGAAAGGAATGAAAACGGGCAGCAGAGGAGAAGAAAAATTGCACGGTTCGTGTTGTTCCAATATTCATGAACTTCCTGTACACCCGTTGTGCACGAGAAGCAACGCGGACCAAGGAGTGCGACTCGCGTACCCACGCCCACGCGTGCATTTCAATGGAGGCCGCTAATTAAACCGAAACTGTTCATAGCGTGGCGCGAACGATATTTACAACCCTACTATCTTTCGAATTCCACTTAAAATCTAAAAACGGAAATGATACTACACCAGCCTGTTTTCATTAAACATTCGACTCTTTTCCACGTTTCGTCGAATTAATCAAATTAATTAACCAATTGGGAAAACTCAATTCCTTTCGCGGTATTTCATTGTTGAAAATGTAACCATTGTTAAGATAGATATAAAAATTTTCGGAGAGCAAACTTTTTAAAATTCGAATTTTACTTCCACTTCTAGAAAAAAATATAACCAAAAAAAATGTACGACTTTTCGATAAAACTTGTAAAATCCGCGCGACTCTCCTTTTTTACGACGCTATAAATTTAAAAAATTTTTATCCCGACAAATCTTACGCGTCTTGTTTTTTCTTCTCTCTTCTTTTTTTTTTTTTTTCAAGATTTACGCGACAATATTCACGATCGAGAGGGAATCTTGAACGCGAACATAAAACGAGCCGACCCAGAAAAAGGGGGCGAATGAACGATTCGCGGGC